GGAGCGGTATGATCCAAACATTGACCAGTGGAGCATGCTGGGAGATATGCAGACAGCCCGGGAAGGTGCTGGACTCGTAGTGGCCAGCGGAGTGATCTACTGTCTAGGTATCGAGTCTGGGATGCAGGAATGGGAGAGAACTCAATGGGTAGTGGACTGTGAGTAAGGATTCCTTTTTACTAGGATGAAGTTCATAGGCTTCCCTTCAACTAAAACCCTGGTGTGTGTTAATATATTTTCCATTAATTGGGATTATCTTTTTCTTATAAGCAGAAAGTAGGGTACTGTCAGATTTCTCTTAGAGTTACTGGAACTCTTAGGGGAAAACTGAAACTAAAATAGTTGAAGCACTCAGAGAAAGACCGACCAGAAATGGGCATGAGGATTTACTACTCTTTCTGGAATGATCTCTGTCTTCCAGGAGGATATGATGGCTTGAATATCTTAAATTCCGTTGAGAAATATGACCCTCATACAGGACATTGGACTAATGTTACACCAATGGCCACCAAGCGTTCTGGTAAGACTAGATCTGAGGGAAGGGACAATAGATGGTACTGTCAGACATTTGCATATATAATGGTGGTACATGGGGCAAACTGTAGATTAATGTAAAAATGAGATTCTGCTCTCCTCCTTGTCTCTGTTTTCTCTAAATATTAGTGAGGATAAAGACAGTTGATACTTAACAACTAGATTATACATTTGGAAGCAAAAGCCTTCATGTCTTTGTTCTCTCCCTACTTTTTAGAATATCTAGTACAATTTTGTCTGTGTAGTACATGTTAAATAAATGTTAAAGTCTCTAATGCATAAGGACAAAAGAGTAGCTACTTACCTTCACCGAGAACTTTTTGAAGTGGAGCAGGTTGGGATGTAGAAAAGGAGAAAACACTGTGCCATTCTGGTTTACTTATTCTGGGTAAAAATTGCTTCAGAAGCATAATCACAACTCCTTTCCCTCCATCGACCTTTATTGCTGCCTTTTTTTCTCTTCCTCCCTTTCTCCTAATTAGAAGCATTGGGCTCTGAGTTAATGAAAGTAAAGAGAACAATTGTTATTTATCTTTTATCATTTCAAGTCCAAGCCAAAGGGTTTATAGGTGGAATAACTTGTGCTGGACTAGATTATTCTAGGCCCATGTGGACCCAGTCCATATCTCTCATCTACTCTAGAATTCAGCTAGTCATTAGTGACGATAGTTTATTTCTATAATTCAGATTCTAGGCTTAGTACCATTCATTTGCTAATGCCTTCATTTTCCCCAGGTGCAGGAGTAGCCCTGCTGAATGACCATATTTATGTGGTGGGGGGATTTGATGGTACAGCCCACCTTTCTTCCGTTGAAGCATACAACATTCGCACTGATTCCTGGACAACTGTCACCAGTATGACCACTCCACGATGCTATGTAGGGGCCACAGTGCTTCGGGGGAGACTCTATGCAATTGCAGGGTGAGGATTTAGAAACGAATCCAGACTCAATATGTAGCCAGAGCAAGAGTCTATGTGATCTGATCCTCATTTTTGGATGGAGACAAGACTTGGGTAGGGGTAGATATCTCCAGTGGCAACTTGATATTTTTTATTAGATTTTTTTTTAGTTTTTAGAGACAGAGTCTTGCTCTGTCACCCAGGCTGTAGTCTGAGTAGAGTAGCTGGGACCACAGGTGCATGCCACTGTGCCAGACTCGTTTTTTATGTTGCCTAGGCTGGTCTCCAACTCCTGGGCTTAAGCAGTCCTCCCACCTCAGCCTCCTAAAGTGCTAGGATTACAGGCGAGAGTCACCATGCCTGGCCTCCAGTGGCAGCCTTAATGAAGGACTTGTGTGGAAAGGAATAGAAGGCGAATTTCTTTCTTTCTTTAAATTTTATTGAGACGGGGTCTCACCATGTTGCCTAGGCTGTTCTCAAATTCCCTCCTGGACTTAAGCAATCCTCTTACCTCAGCCTCCTGCGTAGTTGGGATTACAGGCACGTGCCACTGCATGCAGCTGACTCATTTCTTTCTTTTGCTTCTTTCCCACTCAGATATGATGGTAATTCCCTGCTAAGTAGCATTGAATGTTATGACCCTATCATCGACAGCTGGGAAGTCGTGACATCCATGGGAACCCAGCGCTGTGATGCTGGTGTGTGTGTTCTCCGTGAGAAGTGACCATTGTTGAAGCACCATCCAGAGCTATTCCAGTCCAGTGGACAGTTAGTGGGAGAATCAAGAATCCTTTCCAGAATGTCTGTTTCTCACTATGTGCACAGGTTGATTACAGGCACCAGTGCAGTGATGATTGTACTTATTTGACACATACTCCCCCTCGTCCTGGGTCTTGCTCCTGAGAAGGGTGGGTAACAGATACTCCAGAGAAAAGAATGCACATTGAATGGATGTGAGAGACCACATTGCCTCTCCCACTGCTTTGGGGAGCATTTTCCTGTCATTTCTAACTTACCACGTGCTTGGTGTACTATATGTATGTTGTGCCTCATATGTTGCAAAGAACTAAGGTGAGTATGGCCTACTAGATGTGGGTAATATCCAGCCTAGATGATTGGAAAGATACCAATTTAAGTAAGCTTGGTAAAATCCAAGTCTTTTTTTTTTTCTTTTTTTTCCAGGAACAACTACATTTTCTCATCTACAGGTAGCTAGGGGCAACACAGTTCCATTCTAGAGGGAAACCAAAGGGAGAGCCCCACAAAACTTTGGGGGCAAGGGAGAGAGAGACTCATCTGACACTTCTTTTGGAGGTCAGGGTTTGTATATCAGAATTGAAGTTAGAATAAGTGAATTAAACTCAATGTGATGGAATGTGAGTGAACCTAGAACAGCACTGAAGTATGACATAACCTGGAAGACTGAGAAGGGTATATTATTTGAAGGATCTTTTTATTTCCCCAAGGTCTTTCGCACTGGAGACAGCATAAAAGAGTGAACAAATGTTGGGATGAGAGAAGATGACATCAATGTGGGAGTTCAGTATAACTGGGGATAAACTAGAAGTACCTGTGATTTTACAGTCGTCTTATTACCTGCCAGGGCTTATCTAGCCATGGCAATGTTTGCCTTGAATGGGGGTGAAAGCCTTTCTTTGTTGAATCAAATACTACTACACTATTACACTTCCACACTATTTATTTGGGGATGGGCTGGGAGTGACAGTAGCCTAGTAGTTCAGCTACCTGATTGCTGCCCCATTCTTTTAGAAGCACACTTCTGCCAAGGAGTGGTTTGTACTGCTGTGTTTGGTACATTTGGTCTTTTTTTCTGGTATAAGTTTTCTTTACCTGTCCTTTAGTGTAGATTTTATTCATCACAGGACAGAATAATCAAGGACAACCAAAATCCTTTTGTTAGTTTCAGTACCTCAGCTAGCAACATTTCTGAGCTATCATTCAGTGTTCCTCTGTGTCATGGAGTGAAATTCTTGTTTTATGGGTATTGGGAGTGTGGGAATGTGATAACCTAAACAATCTTTGCTCTGAAATTCCATTTTCCCCTCTTTCCTTGAATTGTATTGACATACAGAGTTAATTTCCTTTGTATTTTTTTAAGAAAATATTAAAAATCATTGGTGTCAAGTGCCGAGAGTTTGTGGCTAACCAGCATTGCCTTTAGCAGATATTTGGGAGGGAAAGATGTAGGGATCAGCCGTAGCTCCTGTCTCTTCAACCTGTTCATCTTGTGTGTTTGCCAACTAGTTCTGCTATTTCTGTGTTAGGCACAGGTAAGAGGTAGCCACTTTACACTTTGGAGATTCTCTTCAGTAAAATATTTTCCTGATTCGCTATATTCATTATTCCCTCTCATGCTTGGAGTTACTTGAAAACCAAAGGAACAAAGAAGAGACATCTTGAATTCACTTAGCACCCACTTGAATTTTAGGGTTTCAGTCACACTAGTCCTTTTTTCCATTTGATTTGAATTATGGCATGTGATATAAACAGCTATGCAGAAGGCCTGCAAAACTGCAACAATCCTGATGCTTCCAGAGTAAAAGGGAAGAGCAACCACATGAGGAAGTTATTTTCCTTAAAGATACCTGCCAACTTTGGCAGATGGATTGCGCCTGCTAATTAAACCACAGCCTATAAAACGTGGCTTTTCCTATCAGGAATAAATCCAGGGGAGGGTGAAGGACTGATGGCTCCCATGCTGTCTTCAGTGCTAATGAGTTTCAGACCAACTTCACAAGTAGTTCATACACTGAAGCTACGATGGAATGTTCTACAGAAAGATCAACATGTAAAACTTAGAGCTCCTTTTTCACTCTTTTCACAATCGTACACTTTCACGTGCTCACATATATACACAGAGATACCCCTAATTTGGTGGTTCATCTTATTTTTTCAAGCTCCCATAATTGGCAACCAGCTACTTAGTCATCTAACCCAGGAAAACCAGCAGTTGCTTTGTGTCACCCCCATCACAACACAGACATCCAGCTAGTTTCTGAGTTCTGTACAATTTTAATTGATCCAAGTCCATTCCCCTATCTTTGTTCCCTCTGCTAGCTTCAGGGCCTTTCTCAGCTAGACTCAAGGTAATAGCCACTGATATCCTTACCTCTACTCTTTTTCCTCTCTTCAATCTATTCTCTCCATTTAGTCATAGGTTGTCTCTCTGAAGCACAGATAGGATCATTACAGTACTTAACATCAGACAGTAAATATCGAACAGTTATTTCTGGCCTAAAATTCTACAGATTCCCATTGTTCATGTTATTAATGTTAAATTCCTTAGCATGACATTAAATCCATGGAGCTCTGAGTCCACGCTACCTTCCTGATCTTACCTACCTCTACTACCGCTTCTCCCCAGGTGTAATGTGGATCAGCCACAGTGGTCTACTAACCATTCCTAAATTTGTTCTCACCTTTGTTCATATATAATACTGTTCTGTCTGAAATAATCTTGCCTTCCTGACAATCCTAGTTAATTAAGAGCAGCGGCTTTAGAGTTATGCTGCAACCTTTCTGATCTTTACTTTTCTCATTTCGTGCACAAGAGTGCCGATTCCGTAAGGAAACTGTGATGATTTAGTAAGTTTCTAAAGGCGCTTTGACATTTTGCCGCATAGTAAATGGTCACAATGAGTAGAAGAGACCAGCAATTAAAGCTTCCACGCATCTTTTTCCAATACCGAAAAGATACATGCCCCTCTAAGTAGTTTAAGAAGCTAATGTGGCTAAAACTTGATGGGAAGTCCGACCCAGATTACCTTCACATTGCCTCCAATAATGTCCCCATTCATTCAGGAGACTAAATTCAGATCTCAGAAAACTAAACAAGTCAACAGGTTTTAATATTAAGTGAAGCCCAGTGGCCAGGTGGGTATGGAGATATGTCACTGGTCCCAAGAAGTGTCCCTGTCACAAAGCCTGCCGACACCTAGCCACTCAGGTTAGGCAATGAATGAAGGCGCTTGCGCAGTAGAATCCAGAGCGGGGAAGCGGGCGCCTGCGCAGAGACGTGGTGACCGTCCGCTTCACGCCAAGCCGCGCCAGCGCAGTGAAGAACGAGCCCGCAGAAACAGCGCCTGCGCAGCCGTGGCTGAGGAGCCTGTTCCGGCAGCGGCAATGGAACCAGCGGAGCAGCTGAGCGAGTTAGTGTCAGCCGAGGGCCGAAACCGGAAGGCGGTGCTGTGCCAGCGTTGCGGCTCCCGGGTGCTGCAGCCAGGGACCGCTCTCTTCTCTCGCCGACAGGTAGGGAGGCAGGTTGGAGTCCGTTTATACCCGCAGTCTTCCGGACGAGCTGCCGCGGGCAGTACCTGAACCCCGGCTCCTCAATTTCCGGAGACCGCGCCCTCCTCGCGCGGCCTTAAGCCCCGCCCCTCGGGCCTCCGCTCGGCGAGGCTCCGCCCCTGGGGCCGCCGGAGGCAAGGGAGGGAACGTGGTCCCGCCCCGGCGTCTTTTGCCGCGGGAACCCTTCCCTGGGCCACCTGGCCCACCGCCCCTGGAGCGGCTTCGAGCGCGGGCCGTGCGCCCCGCCGCCGTCCAGGGCCGCTGCTTCGCGGGCGCGTGGAAGGGAGGCGCCCCATTCCGGCTTCCGGAGCTCCCGCCGGCTTGCAGGACCCGGCAGGTACCTCTCGGCCGCGGCTCACCGCGAGTGTGGCCGGGTTCCTGTCCCACTTCATACCCACCCGCCAGTCCTGAATTCACCGTCTTATTTATGACAGACAACTGTCTGCTCCACAGAGGAGTCCCAGAAACAACTGGTGTAGGGGACGCGGCAAAATAACCCTGGTAACCAATCCACTTTACCGAGGCACTGGAAGCCTCTGGTTTTCCAGATGAATCATATTTGAAGTGCTTAGATCCCTGACGTCCTGGAAGTAAATTTCGAAGAAAAACTATTTCCCGTCAGTTTAGGGATTTTAATAACCTTCCTACCACCATCATCGCAAGTGAGAACGTTGAAAAAAAATTTTATTTCAGTAAACTCTGTGTTGAAGTGCAAATGTGTTATTTCAACCATAGGAACATCCTATCATTCAAAATTATTTCTAAAAATATGCAGACCATTTTATTATTCCATGTGGTTGAACAGATCGTGAAGTGAACAGATTGTGAAGTGTTGAACAGATCGTGAAGAAGACAGAGACTCCATCTCAAAAAAAAAAAAAAAAAGTTAACCTCCATGAGATGCAGGTTGCTTATTGTGTAAAATAGGGGTGTGCAGTCTTTTGGCTTCCCTGAGCCATATTGGAAGGTTTGTCTTGGGCCACACAAAATATACTAACGATAGCTGATGAACTAAAAAAAAAAAAATTGCAAAAAAAAATCTCATAATGTTTTAAGAAAGTTTCCAAATTTGTGTTGGGCGCATTCAAAGCCGTTCTGAGCCGTATACCGGCCGCGGGTTGGACAAGCTTGTTGTAAAATGAAGATGATGATAGATGGAAGAATTTATATAAAAGCACTTAGCACTGTGCCTAGTATGTAGCCCATAATATAGGTTAATTCCCATCTTTTCCATGGCAAGGTTTTGTCTAATTTTATAAACTGACATAAATTGAGAGACTTCTAAATGGAGTTTATAGTTTGTTTTAAAATTCTTCATTTTTTTTTCTTAAAAAAAAAAACAAAAAACATAGCCCACGCCTGTAATCCCAGTTCTTTGGGAAGCTGAGTTGGGCGGATCACTTGAGGTCAGGAGTTCAACACTGGCTTGGCGGACATGGTGAAATCCCATCTCTACTAAAAATACAAAAATTATCTGGGCGTGTTGGTGGGCACCTGTAATCCCAGCTACTCAGGAGCCTGAGGCACAAGAATCGCTTGAACCCAGGAGGCAGAGGTTGCAGTAGGCCAAGATTGCACCACTGCACTCCAGCCTGGGTGACAGAGCAAGAGTCCATCTCAAAAAACAAAACAACAACAACAACTGGAAAAAAAAAAAAAAGAAAAAACATAGACGCACTCACTGTATTGGTCTCCAACTCGTGGGCTCAAGTGATTCATCCACCTTGGCCTCCCAAAGTGGTGGGATTACAGGTATGAGCCACCGGGCCTGGCCAGGATCTTTCTTTTGTTTTGTTTCGTTTTGTTTTTGAGAGGAGTCTCACTCTTGTCTAGGCTGGAGTGTAGTGGCACGATCTCAGCTCACTGCAACCTCTGCCTCCCGGGTTCAAGTGATTGTCCTGCCTCAGCTTCCCAAGTAGCTGGGATTACAAGTGCATGCCACCATGCCCAGCTAATTTTTGTGTTTTTAGTAGAGATGGGGTTTCAGCATGTAGGCCAGGTGAGCTGCTGCGCCCCACAGGACCTACCTTCTGCCCTGCCCTCCCTTCCCCTCCCCCTCCCCTCCCGTCCTCTCCCTTGCCCTCCCCTCCGTTCCCCCCTTCCCTTCTCCCCTTCCCTTCTCCCCTCCTCTTCCCTCCCCATTCCCTGTCGTGCTCTGTCACAAGCATGGCTCACTGCAGCTTCCAACCAGCCAAAATTCTTTTTTCGTTTTAGCGTTTTTTTTTTTTGAGACGAAGTCTTGCTCTGTCACCCAGGCTGGAGTGCAGTGGCCGGATCTCAGCTCACTGCAAGCTCCGCTTCCCGGGTCTACGCCATTCTCCTGCCTCAGCCTCCCGAGTAGCTGGGACTACAGGCGCCCACCACCTCGCCCGGCTAGTTTTTTGTATTTTTTTAGTAGAGACAGGGTTTCACCGTGTTAGTCAGGCTGGTCTCGATCTCCTGACCTTGTGATCCGCCCGTCTCGGCCTCCCAAAGTGCTGGGATTACAGGCTTGAGCCACCGCGCCCGGCCTCAAAATTCTTAATTCTTGTTTGATACTATTTTAAACTGATCTGCCAAAAACTGTGTGAGCGAATTAAATTATATATGTTACATTTATTTTTGTTTCTCAACTAACACAGTGGCCCCTATTCTAGAAAGAGGCCTAAGAATTTTCTTTAATGCATTTTGTGTGTTTTAAAATGTTTTCCCTCTTTTAAAAACGCAAAAAGATGTTTTTTGTTGTTGTTGTTGTGTTTTTTAACAATGGCTTTAGTATTTCTGGAAATTTCCTATTTCTTGAGAAAGAATTGTTGGAAGAATCCTATCCCTTTTTCTGGACTCGAACAACTCAGCTGTAATCCAACCCAGTGTTCTCCTTACTCTCAGTCCTAATTGTTTTCTCCTTTCTTTTCTCAAATACTAATTTCAGCAAAAATATAACTTCTAGGACGTGATGTAAATAGAAGGTAGAAAATTTCATGGAAGATTCTAACCAGTTATTTATTAGTCCTTTCCCTGCTCTGTGTCACACATTTTAAGGTGGGGAAAAACAGTTCCATCCTTAGAACAGGCAGCTTCTGAGATGCCGAGCTCCTTAACTAAAGCTTTGGGGTAAACCCCGTAAAGGTTTGGGGTAGCTCTTTTTTTTGTCATCACTGTGACATATTGCAGATAAACCACCATTAGGGCAATTACAACAGGGCTGTTAATCATCTCCGCAGGTGTTAAAGGAGCACTCTCAGCCCTTAAGGAGAAAGGTATGTAGGGAGTCTGGTTAGAGGTGGCCTACAGCTTTCTCTCTCACTCCACCCAGTGGAATAGCCTAGTAGCCTGCAGATGGGAACAACTGGAGAACTAGACTGCCAGTCCTACCTTTGAGGTGATCCAGGGCCTAGCACTTAACTGTATCTTATGTTCCAGAGTACTTTAGTCTAAAGCAGTGTGCTTCTCGATTCCTCCCACACCCCCAGACCTCCAGAGGACATTTAGCAATATCTGGAGACATTTTTGGTTGTCAGAATGAGGGAGGTGTGCTACTGGCATCTAGTGGGTAGAAGCCAGGGATGCTCTCTTACTCCGTCTCAAAACAAAAAAAACAAAAAAAAGGCTGGAGTGCAGTGGCACAATCTCTGCTCACCTAATCTCTGCCTCCCGGGTTCAAGCAATTCTCCAGCCTCAGCCTCCCAAGTAGCTGGGATTACAGGTGCCCCCACCATGCCCAGCTAATGTTTTGCATTTTTTAATAGAGATGGGGGTTTCACCATGTTGGCCAGGCTGGTCTATGCCCAGCTAATGTTTTGCATTTTTTAATAGAGATGGGGTTTCACCATGTTGGCCAGGCTGGTCTTGAACTCCTGACCTCAGATGAACCGCCACCTCAGCCTCCCAAAGTGCTAGCTGGGATTACAGGTGTGAGCTTCACTCGTGCCCAGCCCAAACAGTGATGTATTTTGCTCAGGAATTTAGGGGTCGACTAGGTTTAGCCAGGCAGTTCTCACTGGGTCTCTGATGATGGCAGCCGTAGAGTCATCCGTCACCCTGTGGGCTGGGAGGGCTCACACTTGAGCATTTTGAATAGGATTTGGGCTACTTTGTTCCCAGGGCATGGACTCCTCTGCCCCAAAAAAAGCCCGATTCCACATGGCATCCTCAGGATAGCCGGAGTTATGACACAGTGACTGAAGGCTCCCAGCACAAGTGTCCTGTATGAGAAATGGCAAAAGTTGCATGCCATTTTCTAACCAGCCTGTCACTACCACCACATACATTCATCAAGCAATCACCATGGCCTGGCCAGACCAAAGGAGAGGAGTATGGACTCACTCTTCCAGGTGGAAGGATTATCAGAGAATTTTCGGATGTGTTTTGAAACCACCACAAGTAACTCCCAGAAGGGAAAAAATTACGAAAAAGTTAACACAGAAGTGTAATTCTTGCATTGTAACAGTTTTTATTCTCTCATCTATATTATAGCATGCTTCTTGCCAAGTTTTCTATAATGAAAAAATGTATTTTACAATAGAAAAAGGGAGTATTTTGTTTTTAAAAGGGTGCTGTTAGTAGTTTATCAGCAATCTCACTGAGTTGTGGTGTTCTGTCTGTTTCTAAAGAGGCTCTCCAGGATTCGCTGGGGTCCTGACAGAACAAAGGTAACCCATCTGGTCAGGGATCTCACTGGCAACTCACACTGCTGAGTTTGCCTCAAATCACTAATTTTGTTGCCACTCCAGTAGCCTATCCAGAAAGCCCCATTATATGCCAGGTGTTATAGCCATCTCCTGGCCCTAGCAGTTGTCCTTGGCATTGCAGTAAATAGGTTGAGATCCAGGCAGATGCACATACATGCACATATATGGGTATATTCAGGGGCCTGACTTAGAGGGTCTAAGTTGAAATGGGAATGTTGAGGAATAGAGCAAACAGGACCCAAAAGTAATATGATGTCTTGAATGGATTGTTAATTATGGCAGTACCCAAACCGCCAAGACCCAGAGACAACTGATAGGTAATGCTTTGTGCTACACAATGGTAATTGAGAGAGGGAAGGTGGTGGTCTTTTGTTGGGCACCTCCTGAACACTAATGCTTTAGTCAGTTTTCCTTTTGTGTTGTTGGACACATCAAATTCTTGGTTGATTGGTTAGATGTCTTAACTAGTCCACTGAAGTTTACTCAGTCATCTATGTGAAGATGTGTGAGATTTCATTCCTACAGTAGAGGGGATAAGACAGAAATATATATAGGAAAATTGAGGCCCACAGAAAAGTTACAGATGGACCGAATTCAGGTTTCCTAGTTCCTTAATTTTGATTCCTAACTCTCTTTGCCTCTACTTGTTCCTGTTTTTGTTTAAGGGAGAACAAAGTGTTAAGGACACCTTGAACATGAGGCATAAAGAATGAGTGGAGTAGCAGTATTACACAGTGGCTTCGTACTGTAACCCCAGTTATTGGGAGACTGAGGCTGAGGATTGCTTGAGCCCAGGAGTTCAAACCCAGCCTGGGCAATGTGGAGAAACCCCTGGGCTCTCTTAATTACAGAAAACCAAAAAGTATATCATGGGGTGGGAAAATGGGAAATAAGTGACATGACAGCAGCCGTATGAGATAGAGGGGTAGCAAACTTGGCTGGCATGATACCTGCTAGTCTGAACAGCTAAGAGTATATACACTATCCATATGGAAGAAATTAAAGCAATTTTGTGTGTGCCAGAGGCCTTCTCCTAATAATTGAGAAGTCATATAGGTTGGCGGGTACAAGCATCTTAGAGCTGATAATTCCAAATTGTAGAACTAGATTTTCTTTTTATAAGATAAATCTAGTATATCTCTAACAGTGATGGAATAGATCAAAGCCAGATATTCTATGCTCATTCTCTTAACAAATCATTGAGATCCTGCTGTATACCAGTTGCTATTTTTTAATAGAGATGGGGGTTTCACCATGTTGGCCAGGCTGGTCTTGAACTCCTGACCTCAGATGATCCGGCCACCTCAGCCTCCCAAAGTGCTGGGATTACAGGTGTGAGCCACTGTGCCCAGCCCAAACAGTGATGTATTTTGCTCAGGAATTTAGGGGTCGACTAGGTTTAGCCAGCCAGGCAGTTCCTCACTGGGGGTCTCTGATGATGGCAGTCAGAAAGGCCATTCCGTCACGCTGGGCTTGCCTGTGGTGGGCTGGGAGGGCTCACACACCTGAGCACTGGAACAGGACTTGGGGCCACCTCTGTCCCTACATGGACCCCCCCGCCCCAAAGCCTGATTCCACATGGCATCCTCAGGATAGCCGGACTTATGACACAGTGACTGAAGGCTCCCAGCACAAGAGATCCCAGCACTAGAGCACTAGAGATCGAGTAATGAACAAGGTAAGCTCCTTGCTTTCCAGGAGCTGATATTCTAGTGGAGGTAGACACGTGGTAAATGAGCCTATAAATTAATACAGTAATTTCAGAAAATAAGCAATAAGTAAACAAGTAGGAGTGGCATGATGAAGAGACTTCCAGGGGAAATGAATGTGTTCATTATCTTGATTATGATAATGGTTTCACTGGTATACATGTGCTAAAGTGAAATAAACTGTGCGTTTTACTTTATTACTTTTTGAGACAGGATCTCTGTCACCCAGGTTGGAGTACAGTGGCATGATCGTGGCTCACTGCAATCTCAATCTCCCCGGCTCAAGTGAGCCTCCCACCTCAGCCTCCTGAGTAGCTGGGACTACAGACACTTGCCACCATGCCCAGCTAATTTTTTTTTTTTTTTTTTGAGATAGAGTCTCGCTCTGTTGCCCAGTCTGGAGAGCAGTGGTGCAATCTCAGCTCACTGCAGCCTCAACAACCTCCTGGGCTCAAGTGATCCTCTTACCTCAGCCCTGTGAGTAGCTGGGACTACAGGTGTGCACCACCACAGCCAACTAATTCTTGTGTTTTTTTGTAGAGATAGGGGTCTCACTACGTTGCCTAGGCTGGTCTTGAACTCCTGAGCTCAGCCGATCCTCCTGCTTCAGCCTCCCAAAGTGCTGGGATTACAGGCATGTACCACTGCGCCCAGCCCTGGCTTATTTTTTCAAATTGCTTTTTGTACAGACTAGGTCTCATTGTGTTGCCCAGGCTGATGTGCATTTAAAATACGTGCAGTTCATATGTCAGTTTTACCTCAAGCTATTAAAAAAATATATATAGTGAGCAGTAAGTAAAGCTAATTCAGGTTGTTTGGTTAGATAAGACCTCCTAAGAAGGCTACATGTGAGCTGACTGCCGAGGAGCAGCTAGCCATGCCAAGATCTGAGGGCAGAACAAACTAATGCTGTTTGAGGAAGGCAAGAAAGCCAGTGTGTCTGAAGCATAATGAGCCACGGAAACTAGGACCATGTGGGGCCCATGTTGAGGACAGCAGTGAGACCAAGTTCCCAGACCACCCAGCTGGTGCCCCTCTTTCATTTCTCTTAAGAATCAGGTTCACGCCTATAATCCCAGCACTTTGGGAGGCCGAGGCAAGCAGGTCACGAGGTCAGGAGATCGAGACCATCCTGGCTAACAGTGAAACCCCATGTCTACTAAAAAAAAATACAAAAAATTAGCCGGACTTGGTGGTGGGCGCCTGTAGTCCCAGCTAGTCGGGAGGCTGAGGCAGAAGAATGGCGTGAACCCGGGAGGCAGAGGTTGCAGTGAGCTGAGATCACGCCACTGCACTCCAGCCTGGGCAACAGTGGGAGAATCTGTCTCAAAAAAGAAAAAAAAAAGAATCAGGGCAGAGACCAGAGGCAAAGAAGAGCCACCCAGCATTATCGTCTACAGCTTAACGAGACAGCTTCTCTTTTTTAGTTTGTCATTCCTGCTAGGGAGCAATGTGAAGTGTACCTAGAATGGGGGTGTTGATGGAACTGGGCCAGTTCAACTTCTGCATTCTTTATGTTCTCTCCCACTGCAGCTTTTCCTTCCCTCCATGAGAAAGAAGCCAGCTCTGTCTGACGGCAGCAATCCTGATGGTGATCTCCTCCAGGAACACTGGCTGGTTGAGGACATGTTCATTTTTGAGAATGTGGGCTTCACCAAGGACGTGGGCAACATCAAGTTTCTGGTCTGTGCAGACTGTGAAATTGGACCAATTGGTTGGCATTGCCTAGATGACAAGAACAGTTTCTATGTGGCCTTGGAACGAGTTTCCCATGAGTAACTGAGGGGAAGGGTACCCAGCTCCACCTCCAAAGATAAACCTGCTCCCCACAAGAACTGGCCTTTAATGTGGTCTAACTGTTCTGCTGCCTTCTTCTCTGTGCTAATATAAATACTGAGTACCAGCATGTCCACTTGAACATGCAGAGGGTTAATCCTGCTTCCTAAAGCCTCACATACATGCCTCCTGCCTAGTTCACTTTGCATCACATTTCCTAAGCTCCTTTTTCCCCCAGTTTTGGGACACTGCTTACCTCCACAAATCTCATCTCTTCCCTCGCATTCTGCCTAGGCTCTGTTTTGCCCAGGGGCTCCCTCTTTTTCTTGCTCTAGAAGAGCAGTATTCAGCCGTTTAGTTATGACGACCCGTAACAAAAGATGCTTATGTACTAATAGTTGAAAGTCTGCCTTTTTTTCATTCAAGAAGGCATACAAATATCTGAGAGTGACTTTGTTGTATAGCTACCCTTGTGATCTGCAGTAATTTAATCATTCTAAAAGTAAAGCATTTACAAAACTCAGTATTTAAACCACTAACCAGAAACATTACTTGGGATGCATCTCCAGTACCATGTTTGAGCGCCTCTGCTCTAGATTGAGAATGACATTTTATTGTGAAGATGGGTGTGGTCCCTCTTCCTTTGAAATCTTACGGTTTCTTTTTATATTAACTCCCCTCTGCTACAGCCTAGAAGCTGAGAAGCAGATTTTTAACCCCATCTGGCAGCCAGAGGAAAACCCAGCCCTGGCTGTTTACCCAGGCTCTCTTGGAATGAGAGTGGAGGGTGTAGGATATGAGGGTTAGGCCTTTGCCAGATTACATACAAGTTTATAATTCGCTTTCTCTGGACGGGTAACTTTCTTCCTTTGTTCATAGGCAAGAACTTCTTTAATGGATAGTATCACTTACTGAACCTACTAGGCATGGTCCTCATGGAGTTTTGGTTCAACTGGAATCTCTGTGCCAACCCAGGATACAAACTTCTATCCAGATGCCTCTATTGCCATAGCTCCGGGGCTGCTCCAACAGTTTTATATCAGCAGACTTGTTTAAGCCTTCAACTTGATTTCCAATTATTCCATCATTTCTATTCTGAAATGACTCACCGTCATAGAAGGAAGTTTATTATATAACCAAGGTTTCAGGTATCCTCCTGTCACCACCTCTACCATTCAGGAGGCCTAAACTTGAAATAAGTACTAAATAGAAACCTTACCATCTGAAGTCTCTTCCGTTGTTTTCTAGTTGCTTCCTCCTTCCTTTACCCCCAGACTTTCTTTTTTTTTTTTTTTTTTGAGACGGAGTCTGGCTCTGTCGCCCAGTCTGGAGTGCAGTGGCTGGATCTCGGCTCACTGTAAGCTCTGCCTCCCGGGTTTACGCCATTCTCCTGCCTCAGCCTCCCGAGTAGCTGGGACTACAGACGCCCGCCACCTCGCCCGGCTAGTTTTTTGTATTTTTTAGTAGAGACGGGGTTTCACTGGGTTAGCCAGGATGGTCTCGATCTCCTGACCTTGTGATCCACCCGTCTCGGCCTCCCAAAGTGCTGGGATTACAGGCTTGAGCCACCGCACCCGGCCTACCCCCAGACTTTCTAAGGGCTCCCCCACTGCAGTGCAATCTGGCCTTGGGCACACTTTTGCAACCAACCTACTCCTCTGGAAAGGTGGCTTCCTCCTCCAGTCAGCCTGAATGAGCTTCAGTAAGCAAGCAATTGAGAGAACTGTGTTTTTCTGACAAACGGTCACATGTCCATTGTTATGGCATCTAAAGAAAACAGAGTTATCCACTCAAGTCAGGAGCATAACCCAAGTAGATGCCTCTAGGGGCACATGGCCCCTCACATCACAAGCCAGAACCTAAGCTAAGCATTTTTTAAAATGAGTTTGAGACTAGCCTGGGCAACATAGTGAGACCCCATCTCTATTTAAAAAATGAACAAAATTACCTGGGCATGGTGGTGTATACCTGTAGTCCCTGCTCCTTGGGATGCTAAGGTGGGAGGATCACTTGAGCCCCAGAGGTGGTGGCTGCAGTAAGCCAAGATCACACCACTGGCACTCTAGCCTGGGCAACAAAGTGAGACCCTGTCTCAACCACAAATACATACATATATATACACACACACACACACACATATATATATAGCGACTTGAATAGGAAACCATAGTATTTCATTGTTTTAATTTGCATTTATTTTATTTCTAGTGAAACTTTTATGTACGTATCGGTCATTTCTGTTTCCTTTTTTGAAAACTGCCAAATGTTGCCCTAGTAGCCAAAAATATCAAGTTGCTATTCTGCCTTTTCCGTTTGATCTGAAAGAAAGAAAGATATTTAAGCAATGGAAATTAGATTTCTGCATGTCCTTGGAAAGAATATATAAATTGAAAAAACAGAGGAGAGCTGAAACCTGAACCTTGGGGTTTAGCTTAAGGTCAACCAACGGATTAGTCTGCTATAAAATGCCAATGTCATTTCTTCATTTCCCTCACACATAGTAGGCTCTCAGTGCATACTTGTGAATCAGCTGCTATTTGCTGTAGGTAGACAGAGGCAACCTGTGCTTTCTGCTCCGAGTATAGAAACTTCTGTTTTCTACTGGGGAGAGCAGTTGATTTTGCGAAGGCCTGATTGTTTCCACATAAGCGTCTATTGTTTTACAAAAACACAGAATCAAAGATGGGCAATGGTGTACCAACATTTCACAAATTGTATATGAGGCCGCACATGTAACTAAGTAGCTATGAGGACTTCTGCTTCTGGTAATGGTGGATAGGTCCTTTGGACTGACCGGCTCACTGGTTAGCTAGAAAGGCTGGACAAAATTTTGTCCAAACTTTAGAATCTTGGTTTGAAGGCACCAAGAGAGCCAACATGACTTTGAAGAATTGCTAAACGAGGATGGCAGAGGAGATGGGAACCCTGGGAGGTGGGCTTGGTGTGATGGGCCACTGTTCTGGGAGCATTTGCCAAACTTGGAGGCGATTCAGAGGCTTAGCAGTGATTTTAGCAGCCTTTCAGAAGTAGGGGACAGGGCCTGTGAAAGGGTGATGGACTTGGTGGTGTCCCTCACTTTTGGTTGAAGCCCTCAGTCTTTTGCACCCCAGGAATAAGGGTGAGGCAGTGTAGGAAACAGGCTCTCAGGACTGCAGCCAAGCTTCTGATTACGGATCTTAATCTTTGAAATTAGATTAAGGTGATCCTAGAGTGGTAGTTTGCCAAAACTCTTTGGATAAGCAAACAAAAACCCTCTCTAGAGGATATTATTATTATTCTAAACTTCAGATTATTTCTACAAACAATTTTGCTAATACAATATCCTGAGTACAACAAGATGTAAGCAGGCATGTGAGACAAGATAGCAGGCCCATAGTAGCTAAAGATATTGGTGCTATCAAACAGACTAAAATAACTGCTTACCATCTTCAAGGAGAGACACCAGTTTGGGAATTTCAGCAGCTATGTGGACATGTTTTTTTTTTTTTTAAGTGAATTCTAGAATTTGTAAGAATCCAATAATCAAAATTAAGAATACAGTGGAAACTTGGCCAGTCGTGGTAGTTCACGCCCGTAATCCCAGCACTTTGGGAGGCCAAGGCCAGCGGATCACGAGTTCAGGAGTTCAAGACCAGCCTAGCCAACGTGGTGAAACCCTGTCTCTACTAAAAATACAAAAATTAGCCAGGTATTGTGGCGCACACCTGTAATCCCAGCTACTCAGAAGGCTGAGGCGGGAGAATCACTTAAACCCAGGAAGCAGAGGTTGCAGTGAACTGAGATTGCGCCACTGTACTCCAGCCTGGGACAGGGAGAGATTCCATCGCAAAAAAAGAGAATACAGTGGAACCAGCAGGGGCAACATAGTGAGAGTGTCTCTACAAATAAATAAAATAGCTGGGTGTGGCGGCACCTGCCTGTAGTCCCAGCTACTTTCGAGGGTGAGGTGGGAGGATCACTTGAGCCCAGGAGTTAGAAGCTTCAGTGAGCTATGATGATGACACTATAATCAAGCCAGGGCAAGAGTGAGCCCATCTGTAAATTTCAAGTTCACTGGAACGTTTTAACAGCAGCTTAGGCACAACTGAGGAGAGAACTAGAAAACTAAGGGCTAGATATAACTAACAGTAGATGTGTAAGACCACAACACAAAACCTTATATGACATTACTAAGAGAAAGTAAAAAATTCATGAGGCCAGGAGACTACAGCCCACAGGCCAAATTCATTCAGCCAGTACCTATTGAGGCTCAGAAACTTTCAAGCTAGAAATAGTTTTTACTTTTTTTTAAAGACAGGGTCTTACTCTGTTGCCTAGCCTGGAGTACAATGGCACAATCACAGATCACGGCAGCTTCAGCCTCCCAGGCTCAGGTGAGCTTCCCACCCCAGCCTCCTGAGTAGCTAGGAACACGGGCACGTGCCAGTGCACCCGGCTAATTTTATTTTCGGTAGAGACAGGGTTTTGCCATGTTGCCCGGGCTGGCCTCAAACTCCTGGGCTCAAGTGATCCTCCCACCTTGGACTCCCGAAGTGCTGGAATTACAGGTGTGAGCCACCGCACCTGGCCAGTTTTTATGTTTTGTAAATGGTTATATAAATATATAATAGCTCCAATTCCGCCTCAGCCCACAAAGCTTAGAATACTTATCTAACCCTTTAAGAAAAAAGTTTGTTACCTCCTAATATTGTTAACAATCTCAACTTCAAACTGATACATAAATTCAGTAAATCCCAGTCAAAAACTCAACAAGTTTGTGTGTGTGAAATTCAACAAACTGATTGTAAAAGTTAAATGAAAATGCAGAGGACCAGAAGTAGCCGAGACTGTCATGGAGAAAAACAAGGTGGGAGAATTATTCTATTGGACAGACAGTGTAGCTTGTCACAAGGATAGACAAATAGACTAATGGAACAAAAGAGCTCAGAAACAGACCTACGCATATATATGGACACTTGATTTATGATAAAGGTAGGAGTAATGATTTGGAGGGGGCATGAGGAGAGCTTCTGCAATGCTGGTAATATTCTATATTTAAAAATCTTGATAGTTGCTATGTAATAAATTGAGCTGTACATCTGTGCACTTTTCTGAACATATATTTTCACAATAAGGTTTTTATTTTTGGGGTGACAGGGCCTCTGTCACCAAGGCTGGAGCACAATGGCATGATTGTGGCTCACTGCAAGCCTGACCTCCCAGACTCAAATGATCCTCCTGCCTCTTAGTCTCATGAGTAGCTGGGACTACAGGTGCATGCTACCATGTCCAGCTATTTTTTTTTTTTTTTTTAGAGATGGGGTCTCACTGTGTTCCCCAGGCTGGTCCGGAACTCCTGGCCTCAAGTGATCCTCCTGCTTCAACCTCCCAAAATGCTGGGATTACAGGTGTGAGCCACTGTGCCTGGCAACAGTAAAATTTTTAAAAGAATGTAAGTAGTGGTTCTATACAAAGCCCACTTTTCTAAACATCAGTTCTTCCTTCAAAATCAGATAGCATTTCATTTCCATTATCTCCTAAATGTAT